AACAGGATCAGCAAACAAAGATGCAACATCCTTTAAGGATTCATCTGCCTTCTGATTTCCTTCAGTCAAGGTATTAGTAAAGGGAGTATGACTTCAAATGTGTTCTACATACAAAGAATACACGCGAGTTCCCAAACTATTCTTTAAAGATAAAAACAAGGATAACAAATTCTTATCCAAAGAGAGAGCACAATAAGAAAAGGGAAGAGATTGTATAGCTAAATACACATTGAGTATCAACAATCACGTTAATAGGCTGGTCATTGAACAATCGTAAAGCCAAAATCACAGCAGCCAGCTCAGCATGTTGAGCTGAAGTCTGTGTGGCAGTAAATTTAGAATACCATTGTTGTTGAATCTGCCAGACAACCACACTCCTTGTAGGTGATCCATCAGTAAAGACTGTAAGAGCTTTATAAATAGGATTTCACACAAAAATGGAAGAAAAGGCCAGATTTAAAGTAGTAGTAACCACTATTCTAGGATCCTTGGGTAAAGAATACCACAAGTTTCCCACATATTGAGAAAAGGCTATCTGATATGATTCTGAAATCATCATCAAATGCTCATGTTCAACTTTTGTACGAGTGAAAGCTATGCTAATGAGATCCTGTCCTGTAAGATGTAAGGCTCATTTACAACCTTTAATAATCAAATCCTCTAATGCTGATTAATAAGGATAAATGTTTCTAGGTGGAGTAGCTGACAAATTAATCCATTCATGAATGTTGACCGCTTGCGGGGACACATTAGAATAAAGACATCCCGTGGGTAAGGGTGTAGTGGGAAGAATAGCTAAGCAAAGTCCTATTGTTAAGGATGTTATCCTGTCCACATATCGATGCTTCAACTTATTCAATATTTCTTGAAGGCATGTTCTTTGAGGATCAGTTAATGCAACTAGATCTCCTGGTGATTATGCTCCCTTCAAAGACTGAAATAAGGGCAACATATCACCAGTTGTAATGTAGAAGAATGGGCGTGCCCAATTAATAATGCCAAGTAATTTTTGCCATTGTACTAATGTATATGATTTCTGTACTTGTAATTCAGGAAGAATTGGAATGGAGGAATTGTGCAACATTCTATGTCCTAAGTAGGTATAAGGTTCTACCTTTTGAATTTTGTCTGAGGCTATATACAATCCCTATTGTGCCACAATATCTGTTAACTCTTTTAACAACATAGATTCATCAAAATCTGGGGCTGCTATCAATATATCATCCATATAATGATAAGACTAAACAGGGAGGAAATTTATTCCGAAAGGGTTGAAGGGCATTATCTACGAAATATTGACAAAGTGTAGGGGAATTAAGCATTCCCCGAGGCATCACTCGCCAATGATATTGTTTTGTGGGCATGCTATTATTAAAAACTGGGCCAGTAAATGCAAATTTGTCTTTGTCTTGAGGCTGCTAAGGTATAGTAAAAAAACCAGTCTTTAAGATCAACTACCAATAATTTATAAAAATTAGGAATTAAGTAAGGATTTGGTAGACCACATTGTAAAAGACCCATGGGTTGGATACATTTATTAATTTCTCTTAAATCATGAAGGAAACGCCATTTCCCATTTTTCTTTTTGATAACAAAAACAGGAGTATTCCAAGGACTAGTAGAAGGTTCTATATGACCAGCAGCCAATTGTTCTTGAACCAATTGTTGTAAAGCAGCGAGTTTTTCCCTTGATAATGGCCATTGTTCCACCCAAACCAGCATAGAACAGAGCCATTTAAGAGGAAGAGCCATCATCAAGAATCAAATGGGCATTAAGAAGAGAAAGGATATCACGGCCCCAAATATTAGTATGAATATCTAGAATGTATGGTTGTAGGAAAAAGGACTTACCAGCAGATGTTGTAACATTAATTTCTTGAACACACTGCCAAGCAGCTGTAGAATCTCCTATTCCCCACAATGAAGAAACTGTCGTTTTTGGCCACTGTACTGGCCACTGTAAAGAGGAGATGACAGTAACACTGGCTCCAGTATCCAATAACCTTTGAAATGGTTGTTTATTAAGGAAGAACATTAACAAAGGACAAGAGGAGTTCAGCTGATGAAGTAAGCCTATAGATAAAGAAGTTGATCCAAATCTTGCATCCCCACGATTACCTATACCAGGAGATGGTATTTCATATGGAAGAAGAAGCAATTGAGCAACAGAAGAATTACAAGGAAGAATTTGAGGAAGATTCACCCAAATCTGAATCATGAGGATACCAATGTAATCAGAATCTATTACCCCAGGCACAACAAAATAGCCCTTTTTGTGTGCAGAAGAACGAGGCAAAATTAAGCCAACTAATTCCAAAGGAAGAGGACCTTTAAATTGAGATGGAACTATTTTAACTTCCATGGGAAATTTAAACTCAATTTCCTCTTGAGTGATTAAATCGATCCCAGCACTACCGGCTGTGGCTGGGGAGGAGTGAGAGAGACTGCTGGAGGAGTCAGAGTGATGGGAAAGGCATGCTTTGGATTTTGGGTGGGTGCCACACCCATTGGCAAGTTTCCCGACCGAAACCGACATTGATTGGCCCAATGAAATCCCTTTTTACAAATAGGGCACTTCTTAGAAGGACGATTCTGAGGCATAGGTGTAGAATGATACTCCTAAAAGTGGTCAGGCTTATTACACTTAAAACACTTACCAATTGGTCGCTGTCCTTTCTGAATAGCAGCTGCTAACATATGCATTTTATAAGTTTGTGATCCAATATCCTGGCAGACTCGCAGCATATCTGCCAGAGTGTAATGAGCAGTAGCCTTTAACGGCTGTAAAACTTTTACAATCTGCATTAACATTTTCAATAGCTAACTGGCAAAGAAGTTCACCATCAGCTTCCTGATGATCAAACTGCTGTCTTATTGCTTTGGACAGATGCTCAACAAAGTCAGCATAAGGCTCATTGGCATTCTGTCGAATGTTTGAAAAATTTGTTCTAGGTTCTCCAGCTTGGGGTACCTTAAGAAAAGCACGAAAGGCACATTTGGAAACAATACTTAACGTAGCGGAAGAACAACTTGAGTAGGAATTGTACCAAATGGTCCAGAACCAAATAGCTGCTCAACTGTATATGCTCCTCCTGCTCCTAAAGCAGTAGCTTGAGCATGTCTCATATATTCACTCTCCCAAACCACATATTGCATGGATGTTAAAATCATGCGAAATATTTGCTTCCAATCTTCAGGGATCATTGTATAACCATTTTTTATTCCTTCTACAAGTCCTCTTGTAAAATTACCACTAATCCCATAGTCTGTAACTGCCTTTTTTAACTCTCAAGATCTGATAAGGCAGACCCTCCCATTCTGCTACTTGCAGTCCAAGCTGTGGCCCCTGACCAGGATGATATTGTACTGGACAGACAGTAATTCTGCAAGTTCTGTTCCTGAGACAGAGGCATCCCTTTTACAAGTCTCTACCATTTTCTGAAAAGAAGACTGAACAACAGTCAGGAGGCTTTTGCCCTGTATCTGCAGGAGCTGAGGGAATTGAAGACATATATTCAGGTGAAGGGAGACAAATGACAGCATTAGAATAACGTGAAGGTGGAGGTGTTAAAAGAGAAAGTTCATTGTGACCAAATGTTTCAATTGCATGCCTACATAAATGCCACACATGCAAAACTTCTATTTTTGCTCGAGGTTCAATATGCAATGTTTTCCCAATACGTTCCTAATCAGTTAATTTTAAAGACCCCTTTTCTGGGTACCATAGGCACTGAGCTGCAATCACCTAGACCAGCCTTAAGAGATTTCTCTGTGGTACTTCGGTATTATTTTTCTTCAACAAATAGCCTAATTCATCTACATGCTTCCTCTGTTCCTCAGGAAGCAAAGACCCCATACTTACAGAAACCAAAAGGTTGAAGAAACCACAAAGGGTTGAAGGTGCACCAAATCCTTGCCAGACAAAGTAAGAGGGTCCCTGTTCAGGCGCCACTTGTTGTAATGACGAGGCAGTCGAGTTGTTTGATCATGAACAACTGAATTATGATGATCTTTATTGGAGTATAGTCTTGCATTTATATACATTTTTAGTTATCCTCCATCATTGGTTAACTTTGGTTACTGCTTAACTTTCGTTACTGTTTAGTACAGTAATCCATACAATTAATTATCTCTAGTTAAAGTCTAACATATGTCTACTTCCCCTCTCTAATCCTCCTTTATCTATAGATTAGTGACTTTGTTTGACTGAGTTGTATTTGCTTGGAAACATTCTTTATCTGAGGTTTGCCATCCGAGATTGGAACATTCCTACAATTACAACTCTACACTATCTGAAGCAACAAGAAAGGCTGAGTTTTTAATCATACAGCTAGCTAAGTTATAAAGTGCATATATTGTAATTGCATGAATGCAGAAAAAGATAGTATTGAAGCTTCATCATGGGGGGGGGGGGGATACACTCCCACACCACATTTTCTCTCACTGAAATCCTTGACAGGATCAGAAGAAATACAAGATCAGTTTCATTTGCTCAACTTTATTCAACCAAAATTCAATGTGCTGGAAAATACATGTAACTTCCTATTGACAAGTTAACATTTTTATGAAGTTTTGAAGCTGAAAGAAAGGTAAGGGGGGGAAATAGAATCACACTACCAACCAGTTACTCCCACAGCAGTAATCAGGTATAAAGAGTTATCAAATCAATATCATGGGCAGTATGATTGAAGGGGAAAACTCATTAAACTAATTACAGCTGCAATCTTGCACAGGTTTATTTAGAATGAACTCCTATTGTTTACAGCAGGGCTGTCAAAACTAATGGCCTGCAGGCCGGATGCATCATGTGTTTCCCACGCCTGGCTTAGCAAAGGAGGGGGGTAGTTGCAACACATCATGTGACACCGGCGTGACAATACAAATTTGACACCTCTGGTTTCAGTAAAGTAAAACCTGCTTCTGAGTAAACATGCAAAGGATTGGACTGTAAGTAGTACAGGATCACAGCTACATTTTATCTCAGTCTAGTGTTTTTTTTAAATAAAAAAAGCTTTGCTCTTCTGTTATTCTTAAACTATATCTTAAACATCATATTTATAAATTAAACCTCTTAAGAGTTTATTGCTACCACACAGAAAAATAAAATAATTTAGGATATTGGGGAAAAAAGAGTGTTTTGGATTCTTATCATATACTTATCACATATTGAGCACATTCAAATGTCATCCTTAACCAAACCATTATTAAGCACCAGCAGCAGACAAAATGCCTTCAGTCAGGCTAGCTTCAGGGTTGACACTTACAGACTCCCTCCTGATTTTGCATGGCAACAAATCATCATCTATCCATAATCCATAATTAAACTCTAACTTGGAGTGATAATTTAGGAACAAACTATGGAATCTAACTGGAAACTGGATTGGCAAAAGACAATCTTTAAATACCTGAAATTCAACCAAAAGTAATCATTTCATGTTTTCAGAAACAAATATTATGCAAGAGTTACTAGCAATCTGCCCCTTTATATTATCACAATCTGTTAATTCAGTTATGCGCCAAATGTTAATTCTTTTAAAAAGGTGTCCTTTTTTTAGTGCCTTCAAGTATGTCTTGATTCCTACCCATAAACAGGAAACAAGCCTGTTAAAGTAGTGGACACGTGCATTCCTTTGATTGAAAAGGTAAATAATATCCAAAGTCTTCAATATACATATAGTGCAAAAAATAAAAATAATTTCCTTTTTACTGCTTAATCACGCAATGTTATTTAGGGTCTATTGAGAATTCATTTTAAATACAGTAGTACTTTGTGCTTTAACATCTGGACATAAGCTTGTCCAATAAGTTGGTTGCAAATCTCAATTGCTGAAATGCTTAAGTTTGAAACATCAATGGAATTGGGCAGTTCATTGATCTCTGGTTTAAAAAAAAAAAATGTCCAGGCAGCAACTAGATGGCAAAAGACACATGAAAACTCTGGATATTTGCAGCCCGTTATGTACTATCTAATAAATTGCAACAGCAATTGGAAATGAGCAAATTAATAGTATATCCATGCTAATTTAGTTGCCAACATACAGATTTCCTTTAAAATACTGGGAGGGGGGAGGGGATGGAATTCTCTGCCAGAAGCTTCCAAGAAGGAAAATCTGCACTATGTTTAGGAGCATATGTTGAGCACAGACCTAAAACAGTCTTTTGCATTGGTTTTTAACTTTTGCATCTGTAACCCGGATTTATGGAAGATCATTTCACAATGAAATGAGTCAGCTTTTGGACGAGAGAGACTTCACTTCTAAATGTGATTTTAGTATTGAGCTGCAGAGCACACAGTTGCTAGAAAACCGAAGAGAAAAATAAAGCAATCCTGATGTACAAGTTGAAGCCAAATTATTATTTTTTTAAAAAGCCAATAAACATGTGGGCATTGCTGTGTGCCTTAGTTCAGAATCTTACTAATATAGAGGTAACAGTCCACTGTTAATTAACATTGAGCAGGATTGTGTCCTTTCCATAAGCCATCATAAATAAATGGCTGATGAGAATTGGGCCCATGGTGTAAGGATTAGACACTAATCATAATTGCCACCGATATCAAAAGAGAGCCAAGAACTCATTAAGAATTATCTTACAAAAATAATTATATTTAAATTTGCCAGCTCTAAAGCTGTATTTCCAAGCCCTATAAAAAGGCAATCTTTGAAAAGCTGCGGCTCAGAGTTGGCATGGTGCAAATGAAAGTTATTTCAAAAGCGTTTTGAAAGGGCAATTGCAGCTGGTTGTTGTGTCACAATTATTAATATTGCATAGCTGAGAAATGAGGTCACTTGACTTGCATTAACCCTGCAAGTTTACCCACAGAAGAGTGACACATACCATTTGCTAGTGATAAGTGGCTCTTAGCTGAAACCAATGCCATTTATGAACAGCCACCACACAAGTTTCTAATTCCCCCACCCCAGCTTGTCACATGGGAACCTAGGGGCCACTTTATAGTAGAGCTAGACAGCAAAATACAGTGCCTATCAGTGGTGGAATGTAGCATGCATATAGCTTTGATAAGAAGTTGGATTTTTGTGCATATACATTTGTAGACATACTTGCATCATCAAATGAGGTAAATATGGCATCTTAGCATCACTGAGTAAAAACAAAGAAAAACAATCTCATTGTATTTCAAAGCCGTGACTGATTTGCGTACTGTGGTCTTCATGTGCAGATTACTGGAAGCATTTCCCACCTGTTAAGTGATTCACATGTGCTACAAGCAGGATTAACAGAACCATACCCAGATGATTGCCCAATGAGGATGACAGGGTTTATACTCAGACATCATCCTAGAGATTTTTGAGCAAAAACTATGGTGTCCAGTAGATCTTCTAGGGAGGTTTGTGTGGGTAGTGAGGGAAAAATATGAAGTTTAAGTCCTGTTCCATGTCTATTTGTTTATAAAGCATTAAATGTTATTTACTACCATCACATGCAAAGTCCTAGTTCAAGTTTAACTTTCAGGCAGGATGTGACTTGTTTACTTTTAGCCAAACAAACTATGTCAACTCAACTCATTTATTGCTCAGCAATAAACATCCAAGCCAGGCCTGGCTAAGCCCTATCAAAATCTCCACAGCATTCCCAAATCTTCCTCAGAAGGACTAGAGATTTGCCACAGGATGTCCATATTCAATGGCTCTTGGATGGAACTCCTATGTGGAGAAAAGGAAGCTGTATTTTATTCACTCTCAAACTCGGTATAGAAAATGCAATTGATGCAATGTATTTATTGTTCCCGCTTTGGAAAGACAATTCCTTAGTGACAGGCAACCTTAGTAAAAAGGAAGAAAGACAAATAAAGAAAATGCCATATATTTTACCTTAAAATAGGTGTTAAACAGACAATAATCAGTTTACTGCTTGAAGAGTTTTAAACAGTAGCTAGGATTGTTATGTGTGCATTCTTACCCTTTGGTACTATACCCTCTCTGCCAATATACAAAAAGGAACTCTAAGATGTAAAGAGATTGTTTTTAAAAGAAGAAATCGCTTATTAAAAAAACCCAGTCTTGCCTTTAGAAACACTTTACTGAAAATTATGTTCAATTGCATTTTCTGCTTCACTAATGTTTCACAGTTGCTTTAAGTGACAGGAAAACTAAAAGGAAGACAAATGAGTTAAATGCTTTTCTTAAATCAAAATAAAACAGAAAATGTATTCAAGAAAAAGATAGTGGAGAATAGAGAAATAGGTGCTTTGGGGGTGTTACCTGACTGAAAAAATGGAAGCAAATAATATATTTTGACATCAGAATTATTTTCCATGTGGTGGTAGTTTTGATTTTTTTAAAAAAATGGCTAGAATGGGATTGCATACAGATCGATTTGTAAAACTGGACATTTTTCCCTATTCTGAGAAGTCACTTACCTTTCCATTTTTAGAATAAATTAATTCCAAATAACCTTTTTTTTACACATAGAACAGCAAACGTATGGATAACATTTAGAAGGACAGCTCGAGCTAGAAGAGTTAAACAATGATGAAGTAAAGGACACTTAAAAGTTCTAAATTATCTTGGGCCACTGATGATGTATGGTCAAAAGAATGAAAGGTATATGCAGGAATCCAGTTCCTTCTAATCAAAGCTTAGCTGGGATTTCCTAGATGATTGTTCCAGTCTTCTTGATATCCTCCTTTGGTCTTCTGAAGATACATTTCCACAGAAAACCTCATCCCAAATTCCCTCTGCCCTTGTACTTGGCAGTACCTTATCATCCCGGCATATTACTGCTTCTGTTCCTCAAGTGGCTTATGGTCCCACCTGAAATCCCCAAATCATCGTAAAAGTTGCAAAGTTCCTGGAATTTGGTGGCATATTTCCATCATTCTACACTGTTGAAGATGACACAATATCACAGTACCAAAAACAGACTGCAGGTTCAGCTTGCTTTTTCTGATTAGTTTTTCAATTGTTGCCAACGAATATATTACATTCCCCCATCACTCCACTTCACCAAAGTCAACCTTGAGGAAAAAAATGTCTGTTCAAAAAGCAGTAGAACACTGCATTTCAATAGTGTTTCTGGTGTTTGGGCATTTGAAGTTCAAAGAAACACACTACTTGGCTCATCAAGCCAATTTGATAAATTGGGTTTTTGCATCAAGAGAAAAATCATACAGCACCCAAAATTAGAAATTTACAGTAGTCAAATAGGATATGTACACAGATTGGTTACAATACAAGCAAAATCTTCTGGACTGCTTCCCAGACAGTTTTGGGGTATTTTGAAATTTCTAATTTCTACGGGTGTAATTAAGTATTTGTAACCAAGTAAAAAATTATGTCTAATACTTAATTCACTGTCAGTAGTAAAGAATTCTTTTTAAAAAGTTTCTCCCAGTCACAAGCTGTAGAGAAGCATTTCTTCTTTCTTGAGAAACTCACTTCAATCTCAATCCTGGCTGTACATAAAACAGCTCACACAAAAAAAGAACAGAACACCCACAAAATAAGCAACACCTTATTTCTGGAATTTGTTCCCAGCAGTGGCATGTTGAGAAGAAAGGGATGCTCTTAGTATATGCTTGTCAGGCTAGAAGTGCAATGTTAGTATGGCAATTAAAAATCCCCAGTGTCTTCCAAAACCCAACCAGACAGACATCATTCCTTGCGTTGCATTCACACAAACGGGTGTCACAATGGTTTATGGATCACAGCTACACCTGCAAGGGAGAAAAGTAAACAGGTACTCAATGTATTCCATTCAAGTTGATTAGAGACTAATTTTCACTTCATAGAAACGTTCAAGATCTTGAGCCTTCAACTAGTGAATCTTTCACATCTAAAGTCAATAATGGGAGCTATTATTGACTGAAAGGATAATATTGTACCCTGTCCTGAAGTAATCAGCAAAAATTGTCACAGTTGTTAAATTAATCACTGAGTAATTTACTAGAAAGTGTATGAGAAATAGCTAACTCACTCCCTTTAAGAAATACACTGTTTGGTTATAAAATGGTAAATGAAAAACAATACAAATGACCATACAGGTAGTTCTCGACTTATGACCATTTGTTCAGTGATTGGCCACCTTGGCTTTGCAAGGTCTCTGCCAACTCTATTATACTGTTATTGCTAAGAAAAAAAAATGTTATGTTTTAATTGATAATTTGCATTTTTCATAAAAATAGAAAAATATAGTCTTTTGGGATCATGGAGAAGTTGTAATTCATTGTAAAGTCTTGAGAAACATCTCCATAAACATACTTTTCATTTTGTCTAAAGACTTTGTGTAGTTGAGATGTTTTAAAAATTGTGGGAGGTATTTTTCAAGCCTCTACAATGAATTACACCTTCTCCATGGCCCCAAAAGCACCCCAGCAGTTTTAGCGGATGCAGAGAGAGAATTTTATTCCAGCTGTCATCAAATTATTATTCATTCCAATTGCCATCATGTAATTACCACATGGAGTACAATTAGAGCTTTATTTAACTTCATCCTCTTTGAAAAACTACAGACTGTCTTTTTTAAGATCTTTTTTTTTTGTGGGGGGGATCTTTTTTTAGTCTAACTTCAATTCCTTTGAAAAAGCACAGTCTTTTTCTGATGTCTTTTATTTTATTCGTGGATGTGTCCCTAATATATTCTGACACAGAAACTGAGCTGCTGAAAGTCAAAAGCTATAGTTTGGTTTGTCATTTTCATTTAGTATACTTTAACTGGGCTCTTATTAATACTACTGAACAATTATAGGTCAGATGGTATAGGTCATGTGCTCTGACAGAGCCTTTCCCAAAACAATTGCTGGTGGGACTTGAAAGGTCAAAAGATCGTGTACTTATCCTGAGTTTTGAAAGCATTTTCTAGAGCCTGTCTTAATGGTCTCTCTTCCTTCTGTCTATTTTGAGAGTTAGAATCTCCAAGATTTTCTGTATGAACCAGGTGAGACTGTGAAAGGCCAGTAGGCAGGTAAGTGGCTGATGCTCAGTGAGGGAGGGAGGGGAGCATGTGGGATGTGTGCAAATAAGACATGGCATGTGGAAGTGCACAAGAGGTGCCATATGAAGGGTGTGTGATATACCCAAGAGGTGCTGCATAGGTCAGCACACAGGACAGGCATGGAGTGCTGTGGGTTTGTAGGGATACACATGGGTCTGGCAAGGCACATGCTGGTCAGGGATGGTGTATGGGGTTGGCATGGATCAGGGCTGGCACAGGTTGGGGAAGTGCACAAGTAGGTGGCATGGGCCAGGAAATGTGCATGGGAGTTCCTTCCTCCCTGTTCCTTCCTTTTCTAGTGGATAGATAAATGCCTGCTGCTGTGAGTGGGAGGGAGACAGGGATTGCGGGACTGACTGGGAAACTGTCACTTAATGTTGAAAATGAAGATCATGAAGAAAATGAAGAACAGCAGCCAACAGCACTGAAGGAGCCACAGCTTTCCCACGTTTCATTCCCTCAGCTGTCATGAGTCCCAGATTTTGGACTCATGATGTAAATTAGCTTTCTAAAGTACCTTGCTTCAAAAATTGGTGCCATATGGTGCATCATTCCACCCAGTTAGAAATCATGTCATTGAGAAGTTAAGTATAAGACTACCCAGAACAATTTAATATACCTGTTAGTGGAGATTACATAGTTTACATACATGCCATTGGCACAATGCTATTTTGTTAATGGGTAAATCTAATGAAGACACAAACACGTAGCAAAGATCTGGGATCCTACCAGATTCAGTTAAGAAAAATTATCAACAATACTCAACTAGAGCCACAGCAGGAAGTTAAGCAACATATAATCAACTTGCCTGTCATTTCTATGCCTGTCTAGACCAATACACTGCTTACCTGCATAACTTCTTCCAGTGCTCATGTTGCTTGGTAATAGTGTCCATTTGTCAGTGACAGGATTATAGTATTCTACAGAGGCCAAATTGCAAGAGCCATCATCTCCCCCAACTACATAAAGAAGTCCATTCACTGAACACACACCTACAGAGAAAACAAAAATAGTACAATCAGAAGTCCTAATTTTATAGGCTGCTGTCATGGCAAGGCAGAAGGGCAAATTTAACATTGATTTTTATTATTAACACCTGTTATTTCTCAATTTACTGAAATCACACACATTTTATCAGTCATACTAGTGGTTTCTGCTTGTATCCTTTTTTTTTTTTTGCTTTTTTTCTAACCATTAAGACATTATTTATGAAAAGCCCATCTGCCCGCATGTATAACAAATGATGACAACTAATATTAGTGCTTGTAATCCTTAATAAAAATGAAAAATAATAACAATGAAAAATGGATCTAAAAATTCTTGTTACTTATGAGATCTCAATAGTAATCTATACAATTCTAGTCATTCCTAATTGCAAAAACAAACTAAAATAACAAACTATTAGCAAAAGCCTATATATATTTTCCGCTCTTCTGTCAACTGCCCAGAATTATTAAGAATAGAAATAGGGCCTTGGAATTGAATTAAATAAATACAGAATGAAGCCCCATATGTTACTCATTTGTTAGCCACGGCATCCATTCTGCAATAAATATGAATTGAACTATATCCCCCTTATGTTTAACATTTAATTAATTAAAAATAAGCAAGTATACCCTATTTAAAATGCTTGTTCTGGGGCCTGGCAGAAGTGTCAAATTTCAGATATCTAGAAAACCTTTAAAATAAATATATTTATTCTTGTAGTTTTATCCCTTCTCTTACCAAACTCTTACATGTGCTTTTCAATTACATCTTACTGTAATTTCCATAGTTCTATCACTATTTAAGTTGTACCTCTTGTAGACTATCCTAACATTTATAAAAGTAAACTGTGATTTTAAAATATTTTAATATTTAAAATATTCTGTGTGTGTGTGTGTGTGTGTTATTATTTTATTTCTTTACAAATCCAAGATATAAAAACCTGTAATTTAAAAGGGTATTAATGGTCTGCATTTATTTGACAGTGATTCTACTAATATTTTCAAATCTGCTAGACTTAAAGTATGTAGACTTAATCAAACATTAATTTAAAATAAAGACATTGTGACCTTTTTATTACTAAAGTAACTAAAAATGCTATAGTGCTTTAAAGACTCACACATTTATTATTGTATCTCCTTGGTATTAATATTTCCCTCAACTGCTTTGCTTACACCTGAACAGTGATATAGAAATTTGAGGAAAATACCTGCATTTCTTCTGCACATATTCATATCTGCTACTTGTTTCCATGTATTTGTTCCAGGGTCATACACTTCCACGCTTTTCCTCACCAAAGGACCGTCATGCCCTCCAGTAGCAAATAGCTGGCCACTAAGAACACCAACCCCTAAAAAGCCAAACAGGGGAACTTCAGGATCTATTGTAAATCAACTTCCAGTCAGGGATGATAAATCGCTGTGCCAAGAGCATAGCCCCGACTGCGCTAAACAGTACAGTATCCATTAGGGTAGCTATTATCCAAAATTGAGAGTTTGTAAGAGGCAGAAAGAATAACCATGAGGAACAGGAGGAAAAGCCACAGTCAAACCAATGGTCAGATAAAATAAATCTTGAGTCCAGGGCAAAAATGTAATCTGAGAAAGCATTTGACTTAATCCTCTCTAATTAACATAAAGATAAAGGGAGGGAAGTGGGAACACATACAGGCTTGCAAGATTCTGTAAATTGTACCCTTATAATAAAAAAACTATTCATAACTTTGGTTTTCTTGACTTTGAAAGGATGACAAAATCGCCCTACAATGGGGAGAAAACCTGAGACTACCTAGCACCCTTTTCCAGCCCCTGGGAATTGATATTTTCTTTTTCTTTCTTTGGGGGTCATGTTAGGCATTTTGAAGGATGAGGTAGGAACTTGTTCAAACCCTCTCAAAAGTGGGCCGATGTTTCCAATCCGGGAGGAAGTAAGAGACAGAACAACATGACAACTTGTCTTTTTAAAACTATTTTTAAGCATTAAGAGATGTTATAGCCAGCAAGTGCTGTTCTTCCCACAACGGCCAACTAGAAGTTTTCACTTAGTAATCTATTTCATTATGTGTACCATGGAAACGTGAAAGTAATATTTTTTAAAAAAAATCAACTCTCTGGAAGCAGCCTTAGCCATGAGGCAAGTACACAAGTCGCTTCTATGTTCTAATCATGTTCATGACATCTGTAAGGGCATTTGTGAAAAGGAATACCTGTAGCTATAAATATTCCACATCCAGTGTCAGTATGTCAGTCTTGGCTACTACCGGAACCTAATACTGTCTAGATTGAATTGTCAATCTGAAGCAGACTTCAGGCTAGCCATCAATAATCATGACAGTTGTTTATAAACTAAGTCCACTGAACATTTCAACTTGCTGGTCAATGCTAGTTCTTTTCTTTAGATGGTCCCTATTTATCTACTCCAGCCCGTTATGAGATTATCTGCTTTGACTTGAATGCCTATCAACCTGGCCATAAGGAGGTTGACACAAAGAACTGAGAAAAAACAACAACATAAAAAGAAATTTTGGCATATGTTGCAGAAGTCTAACGCTTTAATTAAATAAATAATGATGATTTGGAATAGAATACCTGCACCGCTGCGCCGAGTACTCATATCAGAAACGTAAGACCATTCATTTGTAGATGGATTATACTGCTCCACAGTACTAAGGCACTGACGTGATGCTCCATCGTATCCACCAACAGCGTATAGTTTACCTAAAATTTCAGCATCAGCCGTCAACGGGATCAATTAAAGGAAAATATATAGCGAACATTTAAAAACCAGTTTTTAATCACTACTCATCTGATTATCACATAACGGACGTAAGCATGTTGAAGATCTACAAATTTGGTGGCAGTAGTTATGTTTCTATTAGGCGTTTCCAATGAAATATCAAGGCAATGAGAAATTCTTATAAAGCAAAAAGCTTTTTAAAAGCTCCAGCTACAAGCAGCAATCATTTCAGAGTTTTGTCCTTATTATAAAGTGGAGATTGGAAGCATTATTAGTTACCAACACTTTAAAATCGGATGAAACTCAAGGACCTTAAGCTCCCCCCATTCAGTGCTATTGTAACTTTAAATAGCTTCTGAATGAATGGTTTTAAGTTGAGGACTACCTATATGATACATATTAACCAGTTCAGTAACTCTTTCCTTCACTAATTTCTTGATTTCTTTCCAGAACAGGAAATTTTAAAAAATATATGCCACTCTTAATAAGAAGAAAATATGGGAATAGGGAAAATGTGACCAACTAAGTTTTCAGACACATTTGTACTTACAGAACAGCAGAGATGTATTTACAGAAAAACATCTAGGATCCTCAGACTCGTTTAATTGGCTGAACGTGATTTTGTGATATTGGTAGTTGCAATGTTGCATCGCTGTAAATAAAATATGAGTGACTTCAAAACAGAAAATTCTTACCCTCTACAACTCCAACTCCAACACTGCTTCTTCTTGTGTTCATAGGCGCCACAAAAAACCATTCATTGACCTTATAATTATAAGCCTCCACAGATGCCAGACCTAGTTTGAAAACATGAAAAGGGGAAACACATAACACAGTTATCCTATCACAGAATTCATCTCATAATGATCATTTCCCTTCAGGCAAACAAAGGGGAGGAAGCAAGCCAGAGCTCCTTTGCTAACGAGGAAGCTTCTTCTTTTTCAGGCATTAACACTATCCTTACCTATTGCAATCATCATTAGCTTCTGCAATAAGAAGCCACCCCTGAGAATAACATCCCAGTTCTTATTATTGATCTGTGCTTAACAGGGCATTTTAAAACCACTTCCTCAAAGGGAAGAGAAGCTCACTGGAGGGTTTTTGTAGAATCTGATTAACTACATTATGGTGGCAATTTGAAGTAATGAATTTTCTTAAGTAAACATTTTCTTCCCACGGGCATGCCAAAATTAACCATCCTCAAAAATTAGGCTTCAGCTCCATCCATTTTCCTGAGAGATCATTATTATTAAAATAAATGGGGGCATCACGGAGATAGGTATAGAATGCCAAGGTTTGTATTTATGAACAGAGGAACTTACTCCAGTCTGGGACTGGGTTAGGGACTTTTGTCCTCACTGTGAGTTCTGTTTGGGGGGGGGGAACGAAGGGAGGCTCGGCCAATCTCGTTGTACATATGTTGTACTCTGACAATAAAGGTAATAATAATAATAATAATAAAGAAATTCTTAAGAATAAAGAATATTTTCCCATTGGGGCTGGCTTTTGTGCATCAACTTACCAGTACTTCCATCAAATCCACCAACAGCATACAGGAGCTCATTGAGCACAGCAGCTCCTAAAGTGCTTCGTCTTTCTTGCATACTAGCTATAGACGTCCACTGATCTTTCACTGCATCATACACATCGACCGTCCGAACACGCAAGGAACCATTGAAACCTCCCACCGCGTAGACTTTGCCTGCCATGAATACTACCCCTGTTAAAAATAAATGAAAAAAGAGCAAAGGTTTAAGCAAAGCAACCTTGGCCTACCACAAAACTCTTGTTCCAACTTCTTACATTCCAACATTAAAAAATAATAATAATACAAGAGAGCGTCTGTTCATCTAACAGCTTCTGATTGCATGATTCACTACGTTAACCTTTGTCTTATCAATTTCTGGAAGCTTTTAGCATTGACATGATCTATATTCAATAGGTATAATCCACCAGACACCTTTGATAACAACCAGTATGAGTTATTTCAAATATGATACAAATATAAACCTGGACTGGACCCCAAGTAGTCTCAATAAGCACCTGTAATTTCTGATGAATTTTCCTTGAATGATGTACAAGTGTCTGCAATTGCATATTTGTTGGTTACACTCAGCAAGATTTTAGCGCAGTGTATTAAATAGCTTTTAGCAGCTGCTGCAATGTACTTATCAAGAACTTATTAGCAGAGACTAATTCAATTCTAATTATTATTCATGTTCGTTACAGTGATTCTCAAAATTGGATGGGGAGGGGGGGGGAGCAGCAGGCAAGTTTGGAAAGCATACCCTCATCAAATAGGTGATTATCCAGAACTAGTCCAGAAAGCAGCAGCATGTGCAATCTGGGGCTTGCCACAGGGGTATGTGGATATGCTCACATAATACCATCGCTAATGAACTGCACTGATTCCCAAGGGCATTTCAAAGTGCTGCTTTTCACCTTTAATGCCCTGCATGGCTCAAGGGAAGGTTACTTGCAAAACTCACTGTTTCCCCTGGTTTCTGCCTGTCCCATCAGACCTGGCACAGTCAGTGTCCCTTCTAGGAACCAATGTCATCCAGTGGGATCCAAATGGCTTTCCTGTCACAGCACTCGTCCTATGGAACCGCCTTCCACCAAAGTCTGGATGGTTCAGAAGATCTGGCAAATTTCAGGCACTGAAGCCAGGATATTAGTGAAACCTGGTATGTGTGTTTTGTTGTGTTCTGTGCTATAAAGTTATTTTTAATTAGGTAATTATGTTATGGAGCCCTGGTGTCAAGAGTGGTTAGAATGCAGTATTGCAGGCAAACTCTGCCCATAGCCTAGAGTTCGATTCTGACAAGACTCAAGCTTGACTTAGCCTTCTATCCTTTCAAGATTGGTAAAATGAGGACCCAGATTGTTGGGGTCAATTGCTAACAATGTAAATCACTCAGAGTACTGTAAAAGCACTATGAGGCACTATATGTTGAACTCCTATTGCTATTACTTTGAAGTATTTCACATAAATGTGTCATTTATGAATTTGTTTTGTTACTTGCCCAGAATTATTTAGTTAAGGTGAGCAGTAAACATACATTCTTTAAATAAATAGATAAAACACTACTAGTTTTATTTTTTAAGAATGGACTGGAACCTTTGGGCCTGGCTTTGCAACTTGACTTTTTGTAAAATGAAACTGTTCAAGGTGGCTAGGACAAGAAGCCTGGACTCCATGAGCAGTGTTTTCAGCCAGCCCCCAGAGATAACAAGGAAGCCTCTTGACTCTGGGGCTGGATAAAAAAACTCCCCACTGAAATCCAAGCAGGATTTTCAGTCACGGAAGATTTTCAATTCCAGAACGAAGAGGCTTCCATCCATTCTGGGGCTGACTGATAAATCTCAGAAAGTAAGATACTAAATGTAAAGCTTACATTTACTGATAGCTGTGTTCTATCTTTACAGAACATGAAGTCAAAATTAAAACACTACAGTAAGGAAATGAATCTGTGTACCTCACATGCTAATTATGGGGAAATAAATACAGACATTTTAAGATGTGCAAATGCTAGTGGTAAAGGTGTAGGTAGTATGCAGGCTGTTGATAAAAGCAGTAATTGCTATCTATAAGAGCAAATCATTTTATTATAAACGATCACTAGATGTTTTCATGAACAACATAGAAGTTGAATGCACTGAGAATTGCTTATTTAAGAAGTCTGTAAAACAGACAGAATGAATCAATGAATCAATATTGAAGGTAGACTAAGTATGAAGCAGGTTAAAGTGGTACATTTGTAAGAAACATGAATAAGTTGTTCATCTTGTGTCTTGTGTCCGATTTCTTTTCTTACAAAATTTACCATTTTTCTGTACTTTGCATAATATTGCTTACTCAGAAAGGCAGTAAGGTGATGGATATATTACATAACTACTTATAGGTGGCAGAAAATATAAATAATAGAACAAATAATATTTAAATAGTGATTAAGACAGTTATAAAGAACAAAATTTACCTGCTCTGCATCTCCGAGAAGGAAGTTCAGCGATCTGATCCCATCGCTCCTCCTCAAAGTCGTAACACTCTACACTTCGAATGGCTTTTGGTGCCTGCCCACCCACCACAATCATTATCTTGGTGAAAAAGAAAAGGTAATTATTGTAACAAAAAAAATCCCATAGCATTGTGGCCTTTTCAACAGAAATACACATTTAGAAAATAGAATTCTTAAACTTACCTCCCAAAACAGCTAAGCACATTAAATGGAGTAAAAAAAAAATGCTCCAGAAAAAATGTTTTGGAGTAAAAAAAAAAATTAAATGGAGTAAAAAAAATGCTCCAGAAAAAATGTTTTATAATAGAAGCATGCAAATTTGACATATGCAAAATATTAAAAATAAAAGTATAGCCAGAAAATTGTTGCTGTTTTCTTTGGATGAGGCCTCTACACTTTGGCTTAATAAACTATATTGCTTTGTAAAAGGCCAGTAATTTAGAATCTGAAACACAGGTTTTCGTTAACAGCCTGGAAACATATGACAATTCTATGAATGCCTGGCAATGGTGATTAACATCAAAGGAGAGTAGTTTTAACACACATGAACTTAGACTGTGAAAAAAGACAGAATGAAATCAAGCTCTAATAAAAACAGTATTTCCACATTTTAAATCTGTTTAATATTTGTTTGCATTTTTATGTAAGTCACTTGTTGAGATAGGTACTATAGAAATCAAAGAAATAAATAATACCCCTAACAAAAAAAGTTCAAAAATTCACATTTGCCCCAAACTAAACAATTCCTCCACAAGTTGCTTAATCTGAACTGATATTCATGGTCATCCAATTACATCTATAGGAAGACTATATGTAATTCTCTCCTTTGTGATTTCTTTGCACTGTACCTATCCTATAATAGGTTAAACATATTCTAAATTACTTAGGGTAAGTCTGAACCAATACTAAATAGAAAAAATATTTGGGTAGAAAAGGTGTTAATTACTGGAATACAATGCCAACATATTTTTACACTTGGGCCAGAATCACTGCCAGTGTTTGTTGTATATACTAGAATTCTTAATTAAAATTGAATTTTTCAACAAGAAAACATTATTTACCTTTGGCAGACTGACTGGCGTCCTTGGTTTGGTTCTAGGATTTTTTATCAGCTGTCTCTGATCCAGAGGAAGTAAATGATATTTCATGGCTTCAATGAGGAAGTCTTTACATGTATTATTATTCTTGATTAAAGCTTCTTCTTCAACTGTCTAAATGTCAAAACAGGTTAGCGCAATGGCTGCATTTCACTAATGAACATAGGTGTAAGCATTAAAAAATACACTCCAAGAGAAGTTTGCTGGATCTGTTTCAAAGGATTTAGATGTAACAGTACAAAGCTATAGGCCATTCTGCCTATTTAACATCTAGTTCATTAAGTGATTTCCATATGTCATTCATTGCAATATTACTTCTATTTTCGAGTTAGCACTGATGCATATTCTATGTATGAAATTCATTACGTGTTTGCCAACCTCAGCAACTTTAAGATATGTGGACTTCAAATCCCACCCTAGGAAATTCTGGGATTTGATGTCCACACATCTTAACAGTTGCTAAGGTCAATATTGAAATGGGATACACAAGAGATTTTGGAGAAGAGGGGGGGAAAAGGCATGTAAAGCCAAATTGTGCACACTAGGAAAGATCTGAATTACCTGCCAAATCTTAAGACTACCTAAATAAACTATGCAATGACTATTTATGAAATTGTAAGCTGCAGCCAGATAGCAGGCACAAGAGAGATGAATTATTATTATTATATTATTATTGTTGTTGTTGTTGTTGTACACAAAAATGACAGTATACACAGCAGACGAGATAACCTTATTATTATTATTGTTGTTGTTGTTGTTGTTGTTGTTATTTCTATTATTATTATACTCCTATAGTGGAAGTTACTCAAACAGTACCTCTTTAGGAAGATCTCAAAGTTTAATTTGTAGTCTATGATCTTAATTTTTTTTAACAGCGTTTGCTTTCAAATTTTGGGAAAAGATCAACTTGTTCAATGTTAACAAATAACATTAAAATCTGTATTATCTTATTCTATACGTTCTCTTGGATTTTTTTTTCTCTGAAAAGCAACTAGCAGCAGCACGAATAATAGTAACATGCTGTACATTCATACATGCATAGAGGTATTTGAGCCTTTATGTCACTCCAAAACAGTACACTTCTGGAACCAGAATCTACAGCAAGCTTCCCCAACTTGGTCTTATTAAACAGGAAGCTTCCACCAAAACAAAGTAGAAATGAAAATTCTAAGGTATAAAAAGTTTTGGAAAACCCAATGGCAACAGGTACAGCTCTTAAAGGAGGAACAGCCAGATACTGCCCATTACTACTCAGACTACTGCATTTATTTATTTGTATTCCGCCTTTATTGTTTTTACAAATGCCTCAAGGCAGCGGACATATCTAACACATCTTTCTCTTCCTATTTTCCCCAAAACAACCACCTCTGTCAGGTAAGCTGGACTGAGTGTGTGTGACTGGCCCAAAGCTGTCTTTCATGATCAAGGTAGGACTAGAACTCACCATCTCCCACTTTCTAGCCTGGTGCATCTAAATCAAATTATGACAGTCCCAATATCAAATGGCATAATAGTCCTCAAAATATCTCAATCCACAAATGGCTACATTTGGTTCATAGGATGGAGTTATGTCATGGACTCCACCTGCTCTTGAAGAAAGAGCCATGAATCCAAGAGGACCTGCCAGATTATGGGTGAGTTTTGAATGGGAGCACAACCTTATTCAATGCTTAAGTTCTAAGTCCACAGCTACTTCAGCTTGCTAGAACTGAATCTTGATAACCTCTCATCTTCAGCCAGAGATGTAGATGTAGAAATAATTATCATCGGCATATGGCTTAAATCAGGGGTGTCAAACTCAAGGCCCACGTGTCAGGTTCAGCCCATGTTTAGATGTGTCCCGTGGGACCAGCCTGGAAATAGCAAAGGACTGACCAGCAGTGCCTCTGCTAGCAAAAATGGAGCGCACAGGGGCCACCTACTGCTCCCCGTGCCGTGTTTTGACTGGCAGGGTGCTGCAGGAGGCTGTCCAGGTCAAAAACGGGGCACACAGGAGCCACCCACAGCCTCCCATGCCCCGCTGTGGCCAGCAGGGTGCTACTGGAGGCCGGCTAGCCCATCTCCTCCCTGCATCCCAGGCTGGCCCATGGAGGAAAACTACAATGCTAATCCAGCCCATCAAGAAATCAATTTTGACACCCCTGCCCTAAATGATCTCTCTGTGATTACACCACTAAAAAAACCCTATACTACATAAAGTTGGTTTTAAAAATTCCAAATTTGTGTATTGTTAGAATACCAAATGGCAGCCTTTCTTGCACCATTTATTGTAGATAAATGAAATCCCTGTTCTATCCAACCAAGCCTCTGTGTGAAAAAAGCATTGGAAGGCTACAGAGATTATGATTCCTAAGGGAGATAGATGAATGGATGTCAAGTCATAAAGAAGCACCTGGAGCTTGTAATATTTTTAATTGTGCAAAGATCTGATGACTACTAACCTGTACAAGATAGTCTCTGGGCAAGAGAGGAAGACGAACATGCTCCATCAGTTTTGCCATGTGTTCCAAGCGAGATTCTTTGTCATAATTTATCCACGAAATGACAGCTTCAAAGACCTGCAAACAGCAAAACTTGTTTTGCCTAAAAGGGACCTAATTTGCCATTACAGAACCCAAATTTGGAAGCAGTGATTTCATAAATTATGTAACATTAAGTCTGCAGAAACGAGTTAAGCACTTTTTAAAAGAAAGAAGGATAGTGACATTATAAGATTTATAAATCCAGGGGGGAAAAGGTGATCGTGCGCAGGATGGAAATACAGTCATTTAAATAAGCCGTACCTTGCACACTGTTAGATTTCAAATTGTGTAGCACACTTCCAGTTCAGAGAGATCTCAATTTGTTTTCACGTGCAATAAGTATACATTATAACTGTTAGCATTCTGAATCTAATTTAAAACCTCAAGGGCAATACAAGTAGGCCTTGACTTACAGCAGTTATTTGTTTAATGACCATTTGCAGTTAACAACAACATTGAACAAGTGACTTGTGACCATTTTTCACACTTATGGCTATTGCAGCAGCCCCATGGCCACGCGACCAAAATTTGGACATTTGGCAACTGGCTTATATGTGTGACAGCTGCAGTGTTCCAGCATTATGTGATCGTCGTTTGAGACCTTCTGACAAGCAAAGTCAATGGGAAAGCCAGACTGACTTAATAAGCATGTTACTAACTTAACAACTGCAGTGATTCACTTAACAACTGTGGCAAGAAAAGTGGAACAAACTCACCTAACAACTGTCTTGCTTAGCAATGGAAATTTTGGGCCTAATTGGGATCATAAGGCCAGAGCGTTGTGCAACAAGGTCACATAGTGTAATAAGATTGGGGCTGGGTTAGGACTTCTGTTCTCACTGTGAGTTGTGTTTGTGGGGCGGGAAGGGGTTGTATACGAAGGGAGGCTCAGCCAATCTCATGGTACACATGTTGTACTCTTGACAATAAATGTAATAATAATCATAAGTTATACATATTCATATTTTGATTTCATCATTAGAATAAAAATGTGCTTGGAAGTTGTACTTAATGTGCCTGTTTTGGGTATTCTGCATGACTTATAGTGTTCTAAAAGACAACAGGAAAGAGGATACTAGAGTATACAGTATGTGACAGCAGGCAATACAAAAGGAGCATGGAAAAATCACGGAGTTCTATGAAATGAACAAAGATGTATACTAGCCATTGGAAATTCTACTTTTTAGTTTAGAACAGAAGAGAGTTAGAGAAAGAAAATCAAATAGTCTAGTTCACAAATGTAATCAAATATCTATAACAATTGTACATATCAAATCTTGGTTTGTGTTGAAATCATCCAATCACCAGCAACTGCAAATTTCTTTCAATACAGGGAGTTGTACCTGATAAGGAACCTCCAAGCTGGAGACCTAAATATCATCTGACAGCATCAGAAAGAATGTTAATGAAAAAAGAAGCTTCATTTAATGAATGTGCGATAGGAAGAACTCGCCAGTGAGATGTCCAGATTAAAGGTGCTGATGCTCTTGCGCACATTTGTACGCTTGTGCCACTTAAAAAAACCGAATCCTTCAGCCAGTGTAAATTAGAAATGGGACATTAAATTGCAAGTGACACTAATTGCATTCCATCCAGCTTGTTATACTTTCTACAAAAGGTTAATCAAATACTCATTTAGCAATGTTTTAAATTGTGAGCCTTGATCTGTATGCCTTCTAATTTTTTCAGCTTCATTAGTGGCCATTTTGGTATATCCCTTTCCTGATCATAGAAGTCTTCTACCTTTAGGCACACTGGATTTTTTTTTTTTTAAGTTAGAGACTTTCAAAGCCTGCTGGAGTTTATTCCATTTCTCTTTTATTTCTGGACAGCATCATTTGCAGACGCTTCTGAACATAAATGTGCCAATCTTTAAAACCTTAATTAGCTTGAGATCCAAATACCTAAAAAAAACATCACTCCCTATTTATGGCAGCATATCTGTGCTTTGGAAACTTCAGGGGAGGCTCTTCTCAAAGAAGAATATTTATGTTCATATCCATATGACAGCTAGCGAAAGCTGTCATTTCTCTGAATGCTCAGATCTTTCTTTTTCTCCTCTGTCTACACAGTCAGGCTCTATTTCCATATTACAGAAGACACAAATCAAGAATACCTTTTCCTCTGATGACACTGTGAGCTTGTCACTTGATATCAAGCTGCAAACCTGGTCCAAGCTTAGGCTAAGAAATTCTTCACCAAGCATCACTTCAGGAAAATGCTGCTCTGTTCCAAAGAATTGGAAATTAAGAAAAGGAAGATCATAATGAAAATCCAAGTTTTCGTTCAACACGAAGGACTAGCAATAATAGCTTGAGCAACAATGGGATTACAGCGCATGAAGAAAAAAAAAGCAGAGTGACTGGTGTTCAAGGGTGACACCATTAAAGAAAATGAGCTCCACTGTCACAACAGGAAGTGTATAACCTGCTCCTATGAGTGTGTGAAACGTTGAATTTCGTACACATACTGAGAAGAGCCACAGCTTAGAACAGGGGTCCCCAACCTCTGGTCCGTGGACCAGCACTGGGCCACGACATACCAGAAACCGGGCCATGCAAACAAGCAAAGTCCCATCCACAGGATGTAAGGCAGCACATGAAACCACGTCCCCTCCAGTCCTTGGCAAAACCTCTCTCGATAGAACCAGCCCCTGCCCAAAAGGTTGGGGTCCACTGGCTTAGAGCATACTTGACATGCAAGGAGTTTCAGGTTCAACCATGTACAGATAACACGAAGAAACATTTAACTGAAACCTTGCAGGAAGTATCTATCAACCAATGTACAACCTGTTACATTGACTGTAGGTGATACAACTGTAGTCCAAAAGATCTGGGAAGTGCTTGGCTGGAAAAAGCTTGTAAAAACTATAATTGTAAAGACTGTTTACACATATAAAATAATAACTCTACATTGATAATGGTGTTTTCTGAGGTCAGGCTCAAGAATGAAAGCTTCTGTCACTTGATATCAAGCTGCAAATATAGAAACTAATATAGAAAACTAATATAGAACTAATATAGAAAACTGCACAAAGAAACTGAATTTCTCTTGAGACCAGTACTCCATAATAGACACACACACACACACAGAGAGAGAGAGAGAGAGAGAGAGAGAGAGAGAGAGAGAGAGAGAGAGAGAGAGAGAGAATATCTGCAATACAGATACTACTGTTCATTTACAGTATCAGTTCCAAATATTTCTTTAAAGTGGCTCTGTAAAATACTTCTGTTCACCAGCAGGGGGCTCTTGAGAACAGACATCTCAACCCAACTTTAATAATTATAATGAACTATCACAGTTATTCAGTATCTTATTACAGAAACCATTTTTAAAATGAGAATAGTGTTCTGAAGAAATATTTAAAATTGCACAAAGACAAACATTTATACTCTAGTGGTAACTAAACTGTAGACCATACAGCAGGCTAAAGCAAAATCAAATAAATCACAATGATAACACAAGTTATCAGCTTTAGGCATTTCTCAAAGAAGGTGTTCAATGAGCTCATAGGTTGCTTTCGGCTGCTTTAAAATGCAAATTATTTCATTGTACACAGTTAATGTATAGCCAAAGGAATCTTAAATACATTTCTGGAATATTTTCATTAACATTTCATAGGGGGATGTTAAAGTAGTATGTTCTTCATGAAGGGCAACAAAACCTCAAGAGCGGTTCTTGCAATTAAACCAGATTTAAATTAAACGTTGTTCAGTGCTGGTCTGGTTAAAGATTAAATGGTTTTAGAAATCAAGCATTTAAAGCTAACTATTTGTCCCATATATAAGAAAGTAAGCAAAGCTCTAAACACCCTACACTCAAAAAGTTCAGAAATGTGGACAAAGTCAGCAACAGGCTTCATTTAGCCGCTGATTTTGATGGAGTTGGCTGAAATGGCAAAACTGACTACTTTGATTAAAGAAAAGAACATAAGTACTTTTGTTTCCACATGGAGACCGCTTCTGAACTTTGCGCTTGATGTGAAAACGTATGAAACTTTGATTTTGGGTTCTACCAAGGAGATTGATAGACCTTTACAGAAATGGCTTGTTCATATTACGATGAAAAAAAGCAAAAAAAGTTGTGATTTCATATTAGTGCCTTATTTTACTGTAACAGACAGAGTCGGAAGTCAATGTTTCTTTTTTCTTTCTTTTTTGTCTTATCTTTCCTCACTTCTCCTCCCCCCCCCAACTGCTTTTCTATTCACTTTTGTATTTTGTATTTTACAATATTTTAAAACGCAATAAAAATATTAAACTTAGCGGCTTGATTTTCAAGGCAGGTCTGTTGTAACTAACATCTTTATTGACAATGATAATCCATAATTTCCCTGGAATCTTTTACAGGCAGCCTCTCAAATTACAACCGTTCATTTAGTGATTGTTCAAAGTTACAACGGCACTGTAAAAGACTTACAACAAGTTCTTACTTTTACAACCGACACCCCATCCCCACCACAATCACATGATCAACATTCAAGCACTTGGCAATTGGTATATATTTACAACACGTGCAGCATCCCAGGATGCTGCTGCGTGTGATCATCTGCAATCTCCCCAAACCAGTTGCCAACAAATAAAGTCAACTGGGAAATTTGGTTCACTTAATTACAGTGATTTGCTTAACAAGTATGGCAAAATAAAGAGGTCATAAAATTGGGCACTACTCACTTAACAACTGCCTGGCTTAACAACAGAAATCCTGGCCTCAATTATGGTTGTAAATCAAGAACTACCTGTACAGCTACCCAAACTGATAGCTACCATCACCAATTCAAAGGTTGAAGGAGCTGTGGTGGTGTAGTAGTTAGAGTGCAGTATTGCAGTCTGACTCTGCGTTCCCACCGCCGCCAGCAGTTCGATTCTGATCAGCTCAAGGTTGACTCAGCCTTCCATACTCCCAAATTTGATAAAATGAGGACCCAGATTGTTGGGGGCAATATGCTGACACTGTAAACTGCTTAGAGAGGGCTGTGAAGTGGTATGTAAGTCTAAGTGCTAATGCTAGTGCTATTAAGCAAGTGCTTTCTTTACAGGTCCTAAATCTCTCCATATTAGGTTTAATCTCACTATACTGAATGACCTCCAATTTTGACATTGTAAGAAACAAGCGAAAAAAACCCTCTCCCTACTCACAGGTCTATACAATGCACCATTTTACTGTCCACTATCTTGGATAATGAATACCTACTATCCTCAACGATAGCATTTTTCAGCCTAGCTATAGTCCAGATATGTAAACAACTCCCAAAATTCTCAGCAATGACCTTGCTGGATACAGAATTCTGGGAGATAAAGTCCACAAGATCTGGATTTGTGCAAGTTGAAAACACCACTTTAACATTCCCCTCTTAACTGCCTTTACTGCAAGTTAACAGATCTAAACCCTGTAGCTTTTTTAAAATAAAACTGCTGCTCTAGCCCCATTATCATATTGAACTGACCTTGGTTATATCTTTCCCAGCTCTCAAATTAGCCAAGGTTTGATGAAAACTTGTATACATGCTCTAAGTGCAAGTATCACCAAAGATATATTATGAATTGGTGCATTGGTTGAACTGCTTAGCAACAGGGATTCTGTTCTCGCTTCATTACATCAGTACCAAGACCTTACAAAAATTTATTTTATACATGTGAAAAAGGTCATCTGCACTTAAGTAAAGACAGAAAATACAAGATCAACATTGCAGATATGTAAAAACCTTTAGATCTGCTTTGGTTAGTGACTATGTCAATACAAAAGTACAGATAACAAATTATGCTAATAATTATCCTAATGCCTCTAAGTCTGGAATTTGCCTTTTCTTTTCTACACTTACCAGAGAATGCACTTATGTTTGCCTAGACCTATCTGTCATGTTCCAAAATTCTCCTTTTAGTCACTCTTCAAGAGATCCTGGTATATGAAAATTGTCTGTCTATATCAAGGGTCCCCAAACTTTGCAACTTTAAGACTTGTGGACTTCAACTCCCAGAATTCTCCAGCCAGCTATGTTTGGAGACCTCTGGTCTATATCAAAGCATCTGTCTCCTTAGCACATGCCCACTGCATTTCATCAATTAAATTATGCTGAAAAGATTTGTATCTGGATTTGCAAATTAACTTGATTCACACTGAAAATTCCTTATTTACCAGCCAAGTCCACTTTATTTGGACAAAGAAAATAAAAACAGAATTACAGCTGTATAGAATCATCCTATGGTGTACTACTGTTATCACCACCACCATCATCATAATCAAAAAAGAAGGCTTTGTCATTGATATGGACACCACTTCCATTCCTTTAAGGAAAGCTCCAGTGAGTACTATTACTATGAAAGCTCCAGTGTGACTATGGAAGAAGTTTTTGTAAGGTCCTGTTACTAATGTAATGAAGTCAGAGCAGAATTCCTATTGATAAGCAGTTCAACCAAGGCACCAATTTATAACATATCTGAAATCTTTGGAGAAAAACAGAATTTGCTTCAGCGTAAAGCATTTCATGCAGATCTGCTTGAAGCATTTGACTTCAGGACCTATAAATTACAATAGTGGGAGGATACTTTAAGATTCCCTACTGTATTCTTCACTATTTGACCCATAACTTTCTATAGTTGTTTATTCTTCTCACAGCATGTAACAAGACCATGTGGTTCAAGTGCTCCCCATATCAGAAACCTGCCAATTGGAAGTTGAACAAGACCATCTTCTTGCAACTTCTCCCAAATACTGTATGCTCACTTCCAGTGATTAGAGTATAAACTCTTTAATATTACAGCTGCAGAAAAATACTACCTTTTAATCCTATTATGAGCCTGTGGAAAACTATCAGTTAGCTTCAAGCATTGTAAGCTCAACTAAGAGGCACCCTAGTGAGGCAAAAAACACTTCCCTTTCCTACTCTCCCACTACCTTCTCAATATAGAAATACTTGAGACAAGTTTGCAGCAGAAAGAGAAGAGTATATTTTCACTAAAAACTTGCCCTTCAACCTGTTCTTATATTTTCCTCAGACTCCTTCTATTCAACTCCTACTCAAACAAACACTTACACATGATAAAATCCTCTTCTTTGTAACTTCTTCAACTCATTCAATATCTGCTTATTTATGACACAAGCTCTTCATTGTAGCTTGCTCTCTCTACTTACATCTGTTGTTTTTTTTGGTTACTTCTCATTAGATATTGTGTACTTTTCTTCTTCCAAGTGGTTCTATATTAGAAACCTGGCTATAAATTTGCTTCCGTCCATAGCTCTCTTAACCTTCTCTGGTTTTTAGGCCATCCCCTAAAAACTCATCATGGTGTTTCTTTCCTATGGTAACTTGATTCCACCACCTTCCTGTTCAAAAGATAAAATGTTCCTTGACTTTTAAACTCAGTGGTGCTCTTGTAGTGAAAGGTATGTCCAAGAGAGCAAAGATATGAGCCCAAGTAGAACCTCAATATTATACCTAACTTCCCTCATACCCTTTTCTAGTTAATGATATATTAACTTAAGAATTGGCTAGGAAGCAGACCATTACTATTAGGAAGGATAAGGCTGATTGTTGTTTCAGTACATCTTAAACATACAATGGTCATTTTACTCAACATTGCTGCCTTGAAACATTGATATATTTTTTGTAAAAGATTCTTTAAAATTGCCCGCTTGTAAGTTGAAAGCATATTGTAATTCTCATGTCTGTTTGGAACATCTAGCATGAAAAGGTGTATTTAAAATACCAGATGTATACTTAGATAATATCTTAATAGCAGCTTTTTCCAATGTTTGTCCCTCCAGACATTTCAGCATGCTGGCTAAAGAATTTGGAGAGCTTCAGTCCAACTTGTGAAGGGCATCTAGGTTGGAGTGGCTGTTCTAGGTTAAGAATATGAAACATACTGACCTCCAAACTACAACTTTGATATACTTCACCCAACATGATCATTATTCAAGAATTATGAAAATTCTTCATGAAATAGGTAGGAGATGCCATGTTGCCTTTCTCTAGTTGAGGGATTTAGATCATCAGTTGAATTTCACCAGTAGCATTTTATGTTTGTAAAAAGTCCTCTTATTACGCAAGAGGATCGCCATGATTTTGTGTACAAGTATTCAAGATGTCAATATTTTTACATTTTAAAGCCAGGAACATCTGAGGGCTGTTACAATCACCTGCATAGGCATTGGCCTGTTGCAATAATTCTGTGCAGGTGTGCACATCTGCAAAGGCGCGAATTCCAAGGCAATTTGTGGGGTGGAGCTGAGACTGAAGAAAGTCACAACAGTTCTGTCGAACATCCATCAGCTGTAACAAGCTGGCAGCTGGCAGTAAAACCTGAAATTTGAAAAAAAAAGGCAACAAAGAATTAGCAATTGAAGTCCCATGTTGGCTCCTCCAAAACAAACAAGATTAAAACATGTTTTTTAAAAGTATTAAAAACCAACCATACCATAACACACCTGAGCAAGAAAAAAACAACAGTATATTTCTCTACTTCTTTAACATACTTCAGCCAAACAGAACAATAAAACTGCAGTATACCCTGGGGTGCATTCATTCTCTTATTCCAGCAAGAACAATCCAACCCAGCTGGATCACACGGGAATATTACAAATCAGTAACTATTTTAGAGAGCACTAACCCCAACAGGCATCAATAAAATTAAACTATCAGTCTCTAGGCCTCAATACAACCTTGATCCTTAGAATAGATTAGTGAAGAGAAACTAAAGAATAATTGGTTAATAGAAACTAATAATAATTGGGTTTTTTTTCAGCTAACATCAGTTTTAAAAGGTTTTAATATTCTCCTCAAATGATGAAGGACAAAATGTAAATACAATTAACAGCACGCTTCCCAAGAAGGGGAGCATCCACATCCATGTTGCATTTCAATGGTTAAATTATTGGAGTATCACAGAACAAGAGCCAGCACGTTCAAAATTTGTTGGCAAACTGGACTCCCCAGACTCTATCCTTTAGAAACCCCTTCACTGATCTCCTCAAACTGAGAGGAAAGGTTTAAAGGTGTTTCATCTCTTGTTCATTGTCTTCTGGAAATTGGAACTGGAAATCCTAAACTGGGAGTTGCTGATTCTCTGGTGAATAATTTCTCTGAGAAGACAGACACAGTGACAGCTCAATACAGACTTTCCCTGCCAATTCAAGGGAGCAGGAACAGATGGAGATGACTTCTTATCATGCTCCTGGCCATACTTCCTATTTTATAATACCCGGAGAGGGTTTTAAAATGATCTCAACTAGAATATAGCACCAGGTGGTGGAATGTACAAAGCCAGATAATATGAACTGAATGCTAAATTTTGGGGGTCCATAATCACACTGCAGTGGACTGTAAATTTCATTTCAAATCTTTAGCTCTCAACTTTCATCCTCCTTATTAAATGCTGCCTGAACTGAAATCTTAAACACCAAACTAGACAAAGCTATTATATTTTCAATGTCATGTCAAATGTAGTGCATTCTGTATTTTTAATCTCTTCAGTGATACTCAATTTCAAAAGACAATACAAACTTTGTATGTGTACATTCATGCACACATTATAATAAATAAAATGACAATGATTCATTCTAAATTTCAACCTAAAATGTATTCTGCACTTTGCCATTTTTTCTGCCCAGTATTAAAAATGAAAACTTTCCAAAGCGGCTTACATAAGAAAAGCAGTAATTTTTTTCTCTACTTTGGATAAATTGTCCTGACTGAGATTTGTACAACATAATACAGTAAAATGCAATAATAGCAACAAAATAATGAGAAGAAACAAAATATTTAAAAAGCCTCTTTGGTAATAAATTCTGTTATAGTTTATTAACCTCAGTTTCCAATAATTTACACAAAGTATTTCCCTATGCAAAATTTTACAGAACTAAAATACACATATATTCAGATCAATAATTTTGAACAATATGGGAAACAGCATTGGCCGAAAGAGATTTTTTCACGAGTTAGCAAAAAGGCCTCAGGTATTCTTTAAATACTGCTTGAGGTGTCCTTGCTACTCTCTGATGATGTTACCTATTTCGAGTAAAGAAACACCTGCAAGAAAACAACCAAACTCAGAGCTCACCAAGGACCCTCACTTCAACCCTACTGTCAATAAATGTTGCTCGTTCCACATTGATCTCTGTATTTTACTTATATCAGTGAGATTGAAAATATATTACCTCCAAGCTTCCTGTTATTTTGCATACCAATATTGAATATGGAAGTTTAAAATAGCTCTATTTCTTAATATTTCAAATGTTATATACTTTGAAATAGTTTTACCTGTTTTCTTATGTTGCCATATTTCATACTCGAGGAGATATTGACACATTGTCTATTTTAGTTAAATAATAAAATTAAGAATCAGCTGAAAATCATCATCAAAAGCCTTATAAGATAGAAGGTATTCTACAGCTGATTCAAAAATAATTTGAAGGCAGGGAGCATCAAGGAGCTGCCAAAACCACATATAGTAACCAAGAAATACTTGTCAGCTTCCCTCACCTGGACATTCTCTTCTGTGACCTCTACCTCTGCTGTGTAGATATAATCAATTAATTTGCTTAAGGTTAGTCCATCAACGTCTTTGATCTCTATCTTCTTTGCTTTGCTTTCTGTCATATCTCCTGAAATGCAATTTTAGACATTATTTTAAGAGGCAGTCAGAGTCTGAGCTGGCAGAGTTCCCATTAGGTTCCATCAGGTTTTTTTTATTTTAAAAACAAACCTTTTGAATAGCCAAAAATACATTTGGGAAAATGACCAAATCTCTTTTTGAACCAATTATTAAGAACCTATTGAGTATGCTGGAATGGTCAGAGGTTAGGACTAGGCAATCTTCCAAATCCCTTCCATCTCTTACAATCTGTGGCGTTCTACCTAATTTTATATCAAAAAAAGTCAAAACCGACGTGTTTTTGGTTCTTTTCTGAAATGATAAATTTTTATGCCCTCAACACAGTTTTTATTCGGGGGGTGGTGGTGGGGTGGTCTGCTACAAAACTAGGTAAATGTGTTTATCCTCTGATTAAGAACATGATTGAGATTGTCATAGTGAAAAAGTTCTTCAATTTCTGTATTCTTTTACATCCAAACCTCAGAATAAACAGTTTGAGTAAATCCAGAGTAGACAAAAATACAGCATTTGGGAATGTATTCGGTATATGATTGGGAATGGATTTTAACTAGCTAGGGATAAAAAACTGACGATAATACTGTATAATTAAATCTGAAAATCTAAGCTGTATCTTTCCATTATAAATTCTTATCGCTATATATGGAAGTTGCTAAATTCTATAATTTCTGGTCCATAAATGAAGAGTTTTATTATTTACAGCCCTCATCTCAAATTTAATTGACTTGAAAAAGAGGTCAGTACACTTATCCGTTACCGAAATGTTTTCCTTTTTCCCCCAAATATATTTCTTGCTTGATATTCCCAGGAAAGAGGAAAATATTTTCTTGCCTCTCCTACACAAAAAGCGATTTTGTCCATTACTCAAAATGAGGCCAAATGCCATGAATAAGACAAAATCCCTGCATTCCAGGCTGTAAATAATTCCTTTGGATTTATCACTAGTAAGTTTTAACCATGGAGGACAACATAATTCCAACCTATTATTGGCAATGAATTTCCTCAGTAAATATTCTAGTAAATCACTAATATATGAAGTGTGAACTTTATTCTTTTCCTGTCACACATTGAGATATATAGCAAATCCTTAGCTCTTCACCAAGTAGTAAAATATTTGCCCGTGCAGTTGAATCATGGAGTACTTTGCATTATCATAGCAAAGTATTTCAGCACAGAAACTATCCCTGTTGTTCACTGTTGTATTCCACGGCTAATGTCACTTGTAATGTGTAGCAACATCTAGCCAACATTGCCTGATCTGGAAAAAAACATCTGAAAACTGGTAATTTATTATCTAATGTAATTATCTGGGGAGGCTTTTTTTATTTTCAAAGGATGATACACAGTAGATCTGAGAAAAAGGCAACAGGGAATATACATGGGCGGGAGGGAAAAGGCACACCTGCTTTAAAGAGTTGCTGAAAAAATGAACAAGAGCATTGAATATGCTTCAGGGCTTTTTCTCCCTTTGAATCTGTGCAGCCTTTATGGGCACATGCACAAAAAAGAGAGACTAGTTTTGTTTTTGTTTTTTAAAGGCCTTATAAAATAGGTGCATACTGCTTGGAAAGAACTACAAGCATTATCAGTGAGGATATTTCTTAAGATAGCAAGAATATAATCTGCTTTCATAAACATCCCTCCATTGGTAGCAAGATACTATAACAAATTATAGAGCAGGTAGGATTAATTAGCAGTAGATCAATTAACATTTGTGCATTCATGTACTTTGAACAACAAAGAAATGGAGATTGGTTTCTTTTTTAGCGCTTTGCAGGCAACCAAATCAGTCTGTACAATAGCAATGCTATAGCCATTAAAGAATACTTAAGTGTTTTAAAGATCACTTCATACAAGGAAAATGTTTTAAAAAGCTAGACTGTATCTACCAGTATCAAATGTCATACACATGCACGCACTCTTCCATGCCATTTGCTCAACCAAAAAGAAACCATGGGTTTTTAATGATTGTGATCAAAAAGCCAAAAGAGCTCATTATTAATTGTAAAATAAATGCTGATGGCACATAGTAACACAAGTAAGATACTTAGTGAATTATAGTCCACAGAGGATTCACCCCAAGGGTGATATTATACTCCAAATGATTTTTTTTCTCTTTTTGGGGATGATGTCATAACCCCAGTTGCCATAAAAAGGTGATAATGTAAGGCAAAAAATGGAGGAGAGACAAAAGTTCATGGAGCTTGTATTTGTTTTAAATCGATGAGTTCCAGTCATCACCTTGATGCTCAAATAACGGTCTTACCCTCTATCACAGGTGTCCAGCCCATAGCCCTAGATATCCAGTAATGCAGTCTTGCAAGATAGCAATAGCAACAGCACTTAAGATTGATATACCACTTCACAATGCTTTACAGCCTTATCTAAGCAGTTTACACAATCAGCATATTGTTCCCAACAATCTTGGTCCTCGTTTTACCCACCCACCTCGGAAGGATGGAACTAAGTCAACCTTGAGCCAGTGAGAACTGAGCCTCTGGCAGTCACCAGAAATAACTTGCAGTACTGCATTCTAACCACTACGCCACTCCAGCTCTTTAAAATCCAAAGATTGTAAACTTTTAATATTTTTATGTGATTTATATACATTAACCACAGGTAGTCCTCGACTTACAACCACAATTGAACCCAACATTTCTGTTAAGTGAAACATTTGTTAAGTGAGTTTTGCCCCATTTTACAACCTTTCTTGCCACAGTTGTTAAATGGATCACTGGAGTCAATTAGTTAGTAACATGGCTGGTTAAGTGAATCTGGCTTCCCCATTGACTTTGCTTGTCGAAGGTCACAAAAAGGGACTCCAGGATACTGCAACAATCATAAATATGAGCCAGTTGCCAAGCATCTGAATTTTAATCACATGATCATGGGGAGGATGCAAAGTGTGAGAAACAGTCAGAAGTCACTTTTTTCAGTGCCATCGTAATTTTGAACGGTCACTAAACAAACTGTTGTAAGTCCAGGACCACCTGTATATATTTGACTTCAGTCAATGTGGCCCAGGCAAGCCAAAAGGTTTTAACACCTATGCTCTACCATCAAAGCCAGTCCAATGGCAGCCTTTATGCAAAGAACAAAACAAAAAAAACCTAAACTAAGAAGAGTTTATTAATTTTAACTTCCACAATGTCCACAATCAAATGCACGATGTGAAGCTCCATAGCCATAAGACATTCACTAACAATGAGGAATATTGGTTTATACTGTAAGTGATATACTTCGTGCTCCTTTTTTGTTTTTCTGATAGAACACTTCTTAATAAAGGCCATAGTACCTCGACTTTAACATCCCTCATCCATATAACAGCATCTCATGTAACACCACCAAGTAACATTCTCTCTTTACTCTCCCCGAAATAAGAATAGTTATTTGTTTGGAAAACAAAGTTACCTGTAAACATTGCACAGAAATATGGACTGCAAGCTGCTAGGACAATACGGTGGGCTTCGATTTCAATGTCTTCAGCAACAATTACCACGTCGCAAAGAAGCCGCTTGCTGTGAACATATCAACAATGGTGGTTTCAGAACCAATCTGGCAGATACAGAACTATTAAATAAATGCTAAATGAACTAGGCAACTAGGCTATAGATGCCATGCTTGTTTACATTTTTATTAGGATCTACAGTATATGCCACCTATTTGAATAAATCTTCCCAGATAATAAAATTTACAAAAATATAACAAGACAATAATAAGAAAATCAATTATACAATAACCTCCCCCCCTCCCCAATTCCCAATTCCAATGAGTCTGGGTCACGTATGCAGTGCCCTTGACCGAATTCAGTTTCAATTACAGGCTAAGCCTAACAAATTTCCCAAGGAAAACAATGTCACAAACAAGTCACAACTGAGAAATAGCACTCCCTTGCCTTGTTCAATCTGGCGAAACAAATAATGAGCTACAAAAGCAGGGCTCCACAGTGCCAACTATTTATCATGCAGATTGGTTGACTGATTTTTCAACTCAAACTGCTTCTCTCTTTACAAATATAGGCAATTTAATGTGGGCTGGAGAGTGGTTGCGCACAATCTGAAAGTGATATAATGTGACACAATGCGGTTGCATGCATTAGCAAGCAACGTTTGTACCATTTGTAATTTCTGAATGGGATAGGCCTACCTACTGCAAATTATAGCATGACAACTCAGAGCAGACTCCTACTCAAGTTGATAACCTTTTCAGAGTTATTGGAACAATGCCTAAAAAGTCTCCGATTCTAGTTTTTTCAACAAAGAATTTGAGGTGCAGCAGTTCAAATTTATCAAAAGCACTCCAGGTTGGAGAAGGCTGGACTACAAAGCATGCACAAATAAAATCAATCTAAGCTGGTAAAAAACATTCTCAACTTTCACTGCTATATTAGACTTCCCAGTTAGTGTTGAATCTAGAACTCAGTATTTGGCCCCTCAGAAATACAATCCAGATTAAAATCTGGTGTAAAACTCAATCTGAAATAGGTAGTTTCTCAATCCCTTCAAACTCTATCTTTCTGGATAAAATTTTCACTAGCTCACCCTCATCTGTCTCTAAAGACCCTCTAGTTTTGTTTTTAAAGCTTAGTTTAGAGCAGGACAATTGGCCAAAAATAAAGATGAAGTTAATTTCAGTGTTATTTAACTCCGTGACTGTCTGGTCTTCCCTCTTTAAACTGGTACAGGTAATCCTCAACTTGCAACCACAATTGAGCCCAAAATTTCTTTTAAGTGAGACATTTGTTAAGTGAACTTTGGCCCATTTTACAACTTATCTTGCTGCAGTTGTTAAGCGAATCGCTAAAGTTCATAGGTTAGTAACAAGGTTAAGTAAACCTGGTTTTCCCATTGACTTTGCTTGTCAGAAGGTCACAAAAGGTGATCACATGACCCTGGGACACAGCAAAGGTCATAAGTATGAACCTGTTGCCAAGTATCTGAATTTTGATCACATGAACATAAGGATGCTACAAAGATCCTAAGTATGACAAATGGTCATAAGCCACATTTTTCAGTAACACTGTAATTTTGAACAGTCACTAAACAAACTGTTGTAAGTCAAGGACTACCCGTACTTCTATCAATATATTTAACATCCTACTTTTATATTATTTTGAATTTGCATAATTGAAGCAAACTAAAATAGATGACCCCAAGGACATTGTTATTCAACCTACAAGGCTTTGGGTGAGTAGCATCAGTTTCTTTATTTAAAAGAGAATTAGTACAGTTCCTATTTTGGTTGCTTGCTTGACTTTAAAATACAAAGATCACATTTCTTATTTATCTATATAAAGGCTCAGGCATACAGAAAACTTCATTGAAACAAACTTGTTTCATATACATTGCATTTGCGTAGGCTCATCTGGGGATTGGCAAACATTAACACATCAGGATAATCAATAAGTAAACATAATTTAATGTTGTCTGAATTTTCCAGCTCCAGAGCTAACAAAATGGCAGGTCCAATCAACTAGCCATTCCTGGACTAGCCCACCTTGACAGGGAAGACTCCAGAGTGCAACTGACTTTTAAGGTCACCAGCATTAAAGAATCCCAAGCTATATGGGCAGATGGCATCATCAAGTCTTCCCAGCTACGACTCTTCCTCCTTTCATGGGTAGAGTATATCCCTTTCTTAAAGAATGTTACTGGAGGCAGATGGGTTTTTCTCTTTTTCCTGTCCCTATATTGATTCAGTGGCCCCTCAACTCCTTTTCTACATAACCCTGCTTTTGGCAATCAGCTGTCACCTACCACTTTAAAGTATTCAACAAATGCCAAACTTCAGTTCTGCCATGGCTCAGCAGCAGCAGCAGCAGCAGCAACAGTATTGAGAATAAATCAGTGGTAAACAGGAAAGGGAAGAAATTAGAGGGATTTCGGGGCAGCTGCTATGTAACTTGTTTAGAAGGTCATCATAGGCAGCATATATTATTAGTTCCTCTAAGAGGAAGGCTGTTTTCTCCCATTATCCCCCATAGCATTAAGTTACAAATAGAATAATCTAGTATTTTAACATATTAATCTGCTTGTACCAAACAATCCACAGTCCTCCAGCATTCCATGTTCTATGCCAGCAAAGAAGGGTCAAAAGCAACTTGTTACCAAGATAATTCACTCAGGATTGGTGCCTTCTTAGACAAGGCATGAGAATGGTTTCCCATGTGTTCATCCCACGGTATGGCTGTTGTGTTATAAAGCAAGGTCTGTGTATCGCTAAGTAATGGCTGATGATGAGCTGTTAAACATTTCAGCTGCACTTCTGTGAACTCATTGTAGGAAGAGCTATGTTAGTCTCTGGGGGCAAAAAACCAAAACAAAACAGGAGCCCAGTAATACTTTTTCCTACTAACAAGGTTTCTTAAAAGACATGTTAATAAAAAGTATGGGGGCTAAATTCCTGGTTTTTATGTGAACCCATTGGACAGTGGTTCCGTAGGTGACACATTCAATGAATGCAACAGAGGTACCTCTGGAAAGGACTAGGTCCATGTCCTGGCCATTTTTTTTGGACAATATGTGGCAATTCAGTTAGTACCATTCTGCAATACTGCACTTTATTATAAAGGCAACCACCTGTGATTGCTGCAGAGTACCCACCTTGGCATTATTGGCCAAATTATTTTGCCTTCTCTTTTCAATTGTACACTATTGAAGTTTAACTGCACTATCTCAGAATTGAAAGCAGTACTATACAGTTCCTGTCCTTTGATTTTTTTTAATGTCCTACTGTTTGAATTTTCCTAGTCAGACATTAGATCCTCCTGAGCCAAGTCAGTGCTTGCTGCTGTCCACAACAGACCTCATATACTTTCAGCACCTGAGAAATCTGTTCTTGCTTTCTAGATTAGCATCTCCCTGCCCCTTTTGCTAGGGTTCTATAGTTTATTACAACCAACATCAAACTAGCTACAGGGAGAGGAGAGGAGAAGCAAATATGTGGTTATTTTCAAGGTAGAAGTGGGGAAGGAAAAAAAAATCCAGTAGCAGAGTCGCAAGGCAAAGGAGGCTATCAGGGTCCTGTAAAAACAAGATAAGTCCTGGTTTGTAGATTCCCAGTTAGGTTGTTGACTCAGGCAACTCTACTGTTAACAGAATAAATAAATGTATCTATATTGCTAAAGTACAATGTCCAACAAATTGCTTAAACAATCTTGTTATTTTGTACAACAACACCAGTGATTGTGTTCTTTTTTGAAGCACCATATAATTTGGGGGATCCAAATGAAGAACTTCATACAAAGTACAGCAACTGATTTGAAGATCATGCTTGAATTGAACAAAGTGTTCTACAAGTTAGATGCCTCCAACTCCAGCCAGCAAGTGTCTAATAATTGCACAGAGACGCAAACTGGGCATGAAGAATGTACCTCCTTAATTCATTCATGACTTTGAATGCCTTTCCCATATGACAAGGATTGATGGTCACTGTCCGCTGATCCTTATCTCCATCTGCCTCAGGTGGCTGGGAGCACCTCTTGATGCTGAAGACAAGAAAGAAAAGCAAGTAAACACTTCCTTTTAATTTACAAGATCTAAGATAAAATATCACCTAAAATTTAACATGAAATCATCATCTCATTTGTTGTCACATGTTATAAGGGATCACAAGCGTTTAGCTTACACAACCAGCTGTCCACACTATGTCTGCTAGTGTAATTGGAATCCTATTTTAATATCTCATCTGTGCCAAAGTGAATGCTTTTGATGTAACTATGTGAACTATGTGCTCAGAACACATGCACAAATTCTTTGCTTAATCAGCACAAGCATTTGTGAATAGCACACATGAGGTTTTAAAGAACTATGCACATATATGTGGAATTCTTAAAAATAAAATTCACATGGAAAGTAATGTATTTAACTCCCTGACTCTTAGATTTACTAAGAATAAGGTAATGAAGGCAGATCAGTTTGTCTATCTAAGTCTTCTTGGTGAAAATGTAGTCACCATCTTTTTGGTAAATACAGTATGCTATCTGGTTTAAAAAGTAGAAAGTCAGAGCTATTGGAATTACAACTGATCTATTTATTGCACCTGAAATAAAGACACCATCAGGAAATGTTTTTGTTTTTACCCATGAAATACCCACATCAAGTGTATGAAACCAGGATTTACAAATCTGAATGGCAACACAATTAACAACCACCACTCTGCAGCCACAACCTGAAATAAAATATTCAGCACTTCATTCATTGACATAAAAAAGCAGTTCATACATTTTTCCCCAATATTTTTGTGCATGCTCAAGGTCAAATGTAGAGGACTACTGGCATGAATGTACTACCTAATCCAAAAGCATCTGTTAATAGCTCTACAGACAGGCAATTTCTACTTACACACAGGCCAGAAACAAACACAGAATCTTGCCAAACTGGTTCCATCAAAACAAAACAAAAAACACATTCACTGGCCAATTCAGCTGTAGGTAAACGCTTCCTGAAAAGACAGAAGGCTAATTGAACCATTCCCTAAAGAGAGACGGCATCACGAGCCTGAAGAAACAGCAAACCTACCCACGTAGCATCTCACAAAGCCAGCTTTCATTTTTTAACTGGGCCCTTAGCCACCATCATTAGAGACTGAGAATGGGCATTGGTAGAAGTTACCATGAACGCCCTTTTCTATCTATGCTGCAAGAGAGCCCAGGGTGGGTTGACTCCTTCCAGCAAGGGAAAAACACAGCAACCAGCTACACGATCAGCTGGCTTGAGCTCTTATCAGTTTGCCAATCGTGTTTATGATCCCTCCAAACTGCAGGCATGGGGGAGGTCTGCAGGCTCTGCCCAGCTTGCCTGCACAGAGCTCTGTAAAGCTGCTCCCAACGTTGCAGGAGAAAGAGAGAGAGAGCCCTGCTCTCCTGGAAGAGCAGCTGCCCAGATCCCTGGGAGTTGCTTGAAGAGAGGAAAAAAGTACTGAAGATCGCTGGTGATTGCTATCTAACAGAACGCTTTCAGAGACACAGCTACTGACTGAAAGGAGCTGAGTCAAAAGCTGGGGTCTCTCCCGGGGGCTGGCTTTTATATCTTAGTACAGACTCAGCTATGATGTCATCGGAAGGAGTCAACCCATCCTGGGCTCTCAATGCAGCATGGAGAACTGGGTGATTTTGCTTACGCTCCCTCCTCCTCCTCCGGGGGTTTTTTAAGGAAAGCTGTTCCCTGCCCTCATTCCTATCCAAGTCTGTCCTTTCAGACACAACTTCATATGCTCTCCAAAACTTGTCTCCCCTGGAAATAATCCCACTGGGTGTCTCCCTCCTCCAATACAGGTAGTCCTTGACTTACGACCACACTTGTGCCCAAAATTTATGTTGCTAAGTGAAACATTGCTGAGGTGAATTTTGCCCCATTTTATGACCTTTCTTGCCAGTTGTTAAGTGAATCACTGTAGTTATTAGCTTCCCATTGGCTTTCCTTGTAAGAAAGTTGCAAAAGGGGATCACATGACCCCGGGACACTGAAACCATGAGGAATGATGAGTCAGTTGCCAAACATCCGAATTTTGATCACCTGACCAAGGGATGCTGCAACGGTTACGTGAAAAAAACGGTCATAAGTCACTTTTTTCAGTGCCACTGTAACTTTGAATGGTCATTAAATAAACTGTTGTAAGTCAAGGGCTACCTGTATTCAATTCCCTCAGGCTCCATAGAAAATCAGGCATTCCCCTCAAGGCTTCTCCTTAACCTGGAGAAAACAGTCTAGCAATCAGGTAACTTTTACAGCATCTCTCAACCCTCATCCTTCACCCTTTGAAGGCTTGTGCAATGTACTAGCCCAGGCTACCAGGCAAAATGCCCCACAATGGAGTTTTCTTCAGTGGGTGGGAAAAAAGCAATCGAGATGGTTTTTATATACTTAGGCTGGTAGAATTAGAATGATTGTCTTGGATTGGAGGAAAAAGAGAGGGCAAGCAATGTTAAATAAAATGATGGTTTATTAGAGGGAAAAAGAAAGTGCAGCTGGACACCCAAACCCTTACAAAAGAGCCATTCATTTATTTGTTGGCTTGCTTGTTTGTTTCCCGCTTTTATTATTTTTATAAGTAACTCAAGGTGGCAAAGTTAACTAATATTCCTTCTTCTTCTTATTTTCCCCACCAATACTGTGGACCAGGGCTGTCAAACTCCTGGCCCACAGATGTGTCACCCGCTGGCCACACACACGCCCAGTTTAGCGGAGGGGGAAAAAGTCCCAATATGTCACGTGACACTGCCATGATGACGTGAGTCTGTCACCCCTGCTGTGAAGTGAATTGGGCTGAGACAATGACTGGCCTAAGCTCATCCATCCAATTTTTCATGCCTATGGCGGGACTAGAACTCACAGTCTTGTGGTTTCCAGACCAGCACTTTATAATCAGTAGACCAACCTGGCCCTTATTTGCTGGTGCTGCAACACCGATAACAAAGGCAGACAAGATTTTCAAAACAGTTGATTAGAGCCAAGTGCGAAATTTCAGCAGAATTTTAAAAGCAAAATCACGAGTGTTGGCCCAAAAGCAACCGATACACAGGATCCAAGCATGAGAAGAAATGGGACTTATTTCAGCAGGGCCTAACCCATAAAAACATTTTAAACATTTTGCTTGTTGTGGAAAAAAAGTGGGAAAAATGTTTCCACTTAGCCAAGACATAGAAAAACAGCTCTTCTCCCCACATTCATGTTTTGAAAGCTTTAAAATCGCATTCATGTGCTTTCAGGTTATTTATAGCACTTCCCTGAAGGGCAAGTAAAACTCCCTTCCAATTAGATCAAAAGTTTTAGTAAAGCCAACATACAAAACCTTTTTCTTCAAACTGATCAAACAGGTTTGCTCATTACAGGTAATCCTTGGCTTACAACAGTCCGTTGAGTGATTGTTCAAAGTTACAACAGCACTGAAAAAAGTGACTTATGATTATTTTTCACACTTATGACCATTGCAGCATCCCCAGGGTCACATGATCAAGTCAGACATTTGGCAACTGGCATGTTAATTATGATGGTTGTGGGGTCACGTGATCCTATTTTTGCAATTTTCTGACAAGCAAAGACAGTGGGAAAGCCAGATTGACTTAACAAGAATGTTACTAACTTAACATCTGCAGTGATTCACTTAACAACTGTGGCAAGAAAGGTCATAACATGGGGCAAATCTTAATAACTGTCTTGCTTAGCAACAGAAATTTGGGGCTCAGTTGTGGTCGTAAGTCAAGGACTACCTGTAATTAATTGTGACCATTTCAATGCCAGGAATTTAGATTCAGTTTACATGGTACAAATGTAAACATACTTTAAAGGTGTGTTGCTTTGTCCATAACAAACCCAACAGCTTCCATCCTGAGCCATGAATAAAATGCAAAAGAACTGAACAGATGAACTAATTGGAAGGAAGCAAATGAGGAAGAGTTCTAAAATAAGAAATGCCAAGTACAATATGAACATTATATTTTTAAATTTTTGGAACACTAATTGAGAAACAGCTTGTTCTATTTCGATAGCAACATATTTTCTGAGCCCTATCAAAGTGTAGCACCTAAAGGGTAAAAAAGAAATGATTTATAAAGTATAACCATTTCCTAGCAAAGCAAGGAGATTTTTTTGATGGGATTGGAATTCATAGACTTAGCCCAAGCCTTGACCTTATGTCCATGATCTACCCAGCAGGAATCCACAACATACAAAAAGAAAAAGAAAATACAAACAGAAACAATGGAAAAAATAAATTATGTTTTACTATTTGTAATCTCAGGAATGAAGACAGCTCTAATGTATATATGGACGAGTTCATAATGGATGCTCAGTTCCATTGGTGACTGCGGTACAATTCACTTTTTCACCCCAAGGCTTATTTGAAGCAATGCTACAAAGGGTAGTAAAATAGAAATATGCTTCTTTTTGACTGGAAGCATTTAATCTCAATCTGCAGCTCACAAACACTACTGAAATGCAACTAGAAAATATTGAAAATTGGCAGTATGGTGGTCTGTCATTTGAATATTATTCCAGTATTTTAAGATTTAAGCTTTAACTGTTAAAAAACCAAACTCAAAACTCAACACACACACACCATATAAAAAGTTGAAAAAAATCAGCCTCACCCTCTTTTATAATGTACTCCATCATAACATGATGTAGGCAGAAAAAGATACTAATTAAAAGAATAGTTAATTGCCACAAAATAATTGCCTATCCTTGCCATATCCTACAGCAGCAATCAGATATTTTTTTTCCTGCTAACAAGTACCAATCCTCCAGTAACCCAATTTTAAAATGGTCCAGATCTTGCAAGATTCTGACAATCTCATCTCCTGCAAAATCCTCATGTGTTGTGAGATTATAGGCACCTAGACTTAATTAAAAAAAAAATTTCTCAAGATGTTTTATGGAAACGTAAAAATGACAGCAGCAAGCAAATCAAAATTCTGCCCATGTGAATTTCAAATAAAGTAAAACAAAGAGCCAAAACACTTTAAATACTTTAGTAAGAGCACATTCA